ATGGATCCATTGAAATAAATTTGAATGAATTAAGCAGTTCAAAAATTTAAATATCGATTCCGGAAAGGTAATCTAAGTTATTAAATTTTTATCTTTATGTTTAGAAAAGAACTATTCAGTTTCTAATTATAGCGTGTTCCTTATTTTTTGAAGTATGCATACCTATTTCTTTTATTTCATTTTAGAAACATTAATTTGACTGTTCAAAAACCAACGGTTAGGATTGATTGGGATTGCTTAAGCTCTTCAAGTGATCACGAAGAGGATGAAAAGCTTGACAAAACTTGCAATAGCAAACCCTTGAAAAGCAGTGAGTATATTGTAATATAGTTCACACTGCATAGAAAAAATATAAAGTATAATATAGTATTTTATATTTTTAATTAAATTTATTTTCAATATCTTTTAAATTCAAAGTGGTAGGTAGGTAGTTAATGACAAATTTTTAATATAATATATTAAAATATTTGTGATTACCTATAGGCTTCAATATAATATTATTATAAGTAACCTAAATTTATGTTTTTAAGATTAGCTGAAATACCTAGTAGAATATGGGGCATACAACTGCGCCCAAATGACCTTTTTTTTTGTAAGCTGCGCCCGAATTTTTATCTATGTTAAAAAGGTATAATGTAAACTGCGCCCGAATTTTTATCCATATTAAAAAGGTATAATGTAGGTAAACCGCGCCCAAATGTGTATCTATGTTAAAAGGTACTTACAACTTCAGCTGTGCGCCGTTTGTAAAATATATAAAACTTTTGAATTATTTAAGTCACTATGATTGTGTGCTTTTGCAATTATATCACAGAAATTATAGTGTTGTCTAAAAATACCAACACGTTATCGAATAGTTATTGCAGTAATACGGCATCTACTGATGGTTATCAATCACTACATCCGGCATGGGGCTACTTAGTACATATCGTATTCAGTTTAATCAGTGAAGTCACGATGGCTCTTGCTTTATCAAAATGGTTGTACATGGATGGTACGTTTTCATACTGCCCTAAATACTTTACACAAATGTTTACAATACATGGTTTTATCAACGGTTATTATATACCACTCTTTATATGTTTACTCTCCGATAAAAGTACAATATCATACACTAATTGCTTAAAATCTATTTGTGAATACCTATAGTTTCCAAAACAATATAACTATTTCACCATCCGATGTTGTAATAGATTTCGAGAAAGCTATTCATTTTGCATGTAAAACCGTTTGGCATCAGATAACGATACATGGATGTCGATTTCATTTAATACAGTCATGGAATAGATGTATCCAACAAAATGGTTTGAGTAATGACTATAAAGATAACAACAGCGATATTAGAAGGTGGTTAGTGAAATGCTATAGTTTACCATTTCTAAGCCCAGGAAGTGTATCTGAGTATTTTGTAAATTATTTAATGGAATCAAAGCCTGACGACGAGAGAGTAACTCGATTTGCAGATTATTTGGTAGATGTATATATAAGTGAAGAAGCTGAAGTATTCACCTGAAATATGGGCTCAAGCATCAGCAGAGCCAACTCTAACCACTAATGCGTGCGAGTCATTTCATTCTCACTTTAATTCTAGCTTTTATACTACTCATCCAAATATTTTCATGTTCTTAGAAAAGTTAAATGAAGTTCAAATAGAAACATATATTAAACTAAATAGTATAAATGTACCCTTTAAATACCAAAATTCTAAGACAAAAAATAAACGCAAAACGTTACAACATTTAATTAATAAATATAATAGTGGTCAAACTCCAATTGATGAATATGTATCAACAATATGTTTTTTTTTGTCCTAATATTGTACTTTTTAAGACTATACATTTTTTAATTTTTAATTTTATTCTATTTATTATTGATGCTATATTATGGATGTAACGAATTAAATATATTAAAGATTGTAATDGATAAGTAATTCTGTAATTTTGTTTAATTTGGCAAAAATATAGCTATTCAATTTTTAAAAGTTTAGCCGGGCGCAGYTTACATATTATGTAACATATGTCACCTTTTTACATTTGATAAAACTCGAGCGCAGTTTACATATCACCTTTTTACACACGATAAGAACTCGGGCGCAGTTTACATGTATGATTTCGTGTTTACCTGTGCGTTGGGCGCAGTTTACAATCGCCGAGAATATGAATGCATTATGTTGTCGGTATAGCCTGTAATAAATTTGGGTGTTCTAATATTTTAAAAGGGAGCGGGAGGGGTGGGGGTCGTGTGGTTGGTTAGCMACTCAGAAGTTCAAAATTTACGAAAAATGATTAATTGTGCAGTTTATTATGACATTTAATTATAAAAATAATGGTATGAGGAGGTAGGATAAGTGCCTTTGTGCATAAAATTAATTTTGTCTCATCCATTTAGAATTTAAAGTGCGCCACTGTGTTTATGTATATTTCAAACTACGTTTTAAAAGTTAAAAAATAGGTATTCACTTTGTTATAAACGCTGTCAATACATTATATATATTTTTTATGTGAAGATGTAAAAGAAGCGGTCTGTTCTTATGGTATTTGGACAGAAGGCATTACTAAATTCATGTTAGAACAGTATGGAAAATGAATGAATTATGTAGGACCAATGAAAAAATTCAAAAGGAAAGTTGAAATGTGGAAACACTTAACTGACGAAATTGAAAAAGAGTTCAGTGTTAAGTTTACCTACTCACAAGTAGAAAACAGATATAAAACTGTTTGTAAAAGAAAAAAAATTATTATTGACAACGACCGAAATACAGGTGCATCTCGTATGGATGATGCTTACGAAAATGAGTGGAATAATATTACTAAACACGATGATAGTATATTGCCTGAAGTTCTCCACAGTGCGAAAACCTTTGTAATAAACAAAAAGAACAGTCCAGAACCTTTCCAGAAAAAACCTAAAACAGATTCTGCTCAACAAATACTATTAAATTACCTAAAAGAAAAAGAGATAGCCAAAGAAAGGCGCCATAAAGAAAAAATGGATCTTCTCAAAAGTCTTTTCAATAAATAAATTTAATTTCTTTACATTTTTCCATTATAATATCTTTAACCATTTAGATTTAGATTTCAAGACTAAGATTATTATTTCTTTAAGTACAGAGTCATTAATTTTATAAATAGTTAATTTTGTTAAACTACTTGATAAAGTATTACTCATATTGTTGTGTCGTGTAATTGCTTTAAATAATAATTAATAACTCCGTTAGTTTTAAGGCCACGAAGGCAATAATAATAAAACAGAATGCAAATGATGATATCGCAATATTGTTTTGTTTACAGATAATAAATGATAAAAAATGCGTATCACTCTCGTGATACCGCGTTACCGGTTGCCGCCGACCGCTTGACTGTCCTTATGACATAACCTCCAACGCTTGCTCTGATACTGTTTTCACCATAGATAATATATATATGGATAGGACATACCATGTATTCAATTGTGACCGAAGAGCATACTAGTTACCAAAATGGTTAATTAAAATTAAGGTGTGGTATCATTGGTATCAATCATAGGTGATAACGAAAACGCAATTTTTGGCACACATCGAAGAGAAAAATCTGGATAGTGATATTATTTATTATWTGTATTTTGCATTAAGTTGCTTATAAGTTATAACATGTTCGATAGTTTACATTTAATTGGTCAAAGAAATATTAAATAACTGTTAAAAAAATTATTGGTGTTTAAATAAAATTAATTTAGTGAACTTTTATCTAATTTTTGATTGTTCGTTCATTTTTTTTATTTCGTGAAACATTCTGATGTCCAAGTATTTGTATATCACTAAATTTATTAACTTACTGGTCTCTATGAGTATTTTAAATAAATAATATTAATAAATAAATAAATAATGAATTAAGATGAAATTAATAATTGTATTGATTCAAAAATTGGCACAAATCAGATTGATAAAAATGTTATTTATCATAAACCAGTATCTGTAACCGCATTTAACCAATATGGTAAAGAGTAGACTCTTCACTCACAGCATACCGTGTATAATAGGTATAGGGATGTCCTATCCATTTATATATTATCTATGGTTTTCACGCACCCGCGCACGATTAACAATACTGACAATAGAATACCAACCGAGTCGTCCGCTCGCACTCACGATAATAAAGGCTTTATGCCACCGATGGCAAAGGCCTTGCACYGTATTGATCCCGTGATCGAAATAATTATAATAATATTACATCCGATGTCGAAAGGCGATGCGACACGTACATATTMCGCGACCGCGGCAATGACAACGACGTTGGGCACGGAACGATAGACGAAATACTACTAAAATGCTAGGCGAACTGTAAAGCGGCGGTAGGCCTGGATTCGTAATGGCTGGCCAAGGAGCCGGTTTGTACTATATGGTGGCGGGGTGGTGGGGCTCTTCTAGAAGCTTCGATATCTTATCGGAGTATACCCGGATTCGTAATGGCTGGCCAAGGAGCCGGTTTGTACTATATGGCGGCGGGGTGGTGGGGCTCTTCTAGAAGCTTCGATATCTTATCGGAGTATACCCGGGACAAAAATAAATTGTGGTCGCTGCCGGAGTCGGCACCGAACATCCTCCCGCCTATGAAAGCGACGAGCTTCAAACTTTCTTGTACTGTAGGTCATCATAATCATGGTCTCCGATAACACGAATTGAATACTAAATATTTACAATGACTAATTATATGAATTCTTCCAATATAATGTACCCAAACAAAAAATAATAATACAAAAAAAAAAAAATACAGTATAATAATCATGGGAGAGGATATGGGACGTCCGTACACACCGGTTCCTTTTACATGGGAAACTTGGTGGCCTTAACAACTTAGTCGCTTGAGAAGACCGTCGGCTGTTCGAATGGTTACGACGCGAATAACTTCGTCAGAACCTGGATGTACTTCTGATCTGCGTCCGAKTTGCCATGACATCGGTGGATGATTGGGTGTATGAACTATGACTAAATCGCCTACGGCCAGGTTCTCCGTTTGTTTGAACTACTTCTTGCATCCTTGCATAGTCTGTAAATATTCGTGGTTCCAACGACGCCAAAACGACTGTAGCGCTTGATGAATCAGTTGCCAGCGTCTTAACCGGTTAATTGGTACATCGATGACATTTTCTTCGGGTACGGCTAAGAGTGGCTGCCCAATTAAAAAATGTCCCGGAGTGAGGGCGTCAAAATCGTTTGGGTCACTCGACAGAGGTTGTAATGGCCGGGAATTTAAAACACCTTCGATTCTTATCACCAGTGTTGACATCTCCTCAAGTGTATAGACTTGGGCTCCCACGACCTTCTTAAGATGTGTCTTAGTGCTCTTGATTGCGGCCTCCCATAGCCCACTAAAATGGGGCGCAGCCGGAGGGTTAAAGTGCCATTCACATTGAACCCGAGAAGAGACGGCCTGACGTGGATTATCCGTTTGAAGCAAGGTCTTAATCTTTTTCGYGGCACCCACATAATTCGTGCCACAATCTGTGTAAATGTTGGCCGGAATTCCACRGCATGACGTAAAACGGTCCATGGCTGCGAGAAATGATTCTGTTGATAGATCAGTTACGATTTATAAATGTACTGCTTTCACAGCTATACATATGAATAAGGCTAAATATGCTTTATGAGTCCGGGCTCCACGCCGGCGACTCTCCTTTACGACGAATGGACCTCCATAGTCCATACCTACGTTACAGAATGGCCGATTTTCGGTAACTCTGGAAGTAGGCAAGTCCGCCATAAAAGGTTGAGGAGTGCTGGCCCGATATTTGGTACATGGAATACATGAATATACTGCTCGGCGTACAGCTGCTCGGCCCGAAATTATCCAATATTGTCGATTTATCATAGACAGTACCTACTACTCTCGCCCCACCATGTAACAATAGCTGATGATAATACCGAATTATCATCTCGGTGAGATGGCACCGTTGTGGTAGTAATATAGGGTGTTTCACGTTGTCGTCTAGTGTCGAATCCTTCAAACGTCCTCCTACCCGAATTAATCCCGCTTGATCCACATAGGGAGCCAATTGAGCTAAAGTGGCTGGTGCAATGTCCCGATGTGCTGCGATTTGTTTGTGTAGGTCAGAGTAATACGTTTTTTGGGTATATTTGATGGCTCTATATAAAGCTCGAGATTGTTCTGCAAGTGATATAGGTCCCGACGACGCAGGACGCATTCGCGCTCGATTAATAAATCGAAGACAGTATCCTATCACACGTTGCATCAGGGACAGAGGAGAAAAGCGTTCCATCCAATGACCCTCCTCTTCGTGGATGTGCAGTGTACATTGTACCATGTTCTTAAGTTCTGGTAGTTCGTCTAATGATACCGTAACTTCTGTAGATGGAACCACTGGCCAATGAGAAGCATCCTGACGTAGAAAATTCGGAACTGACATATGCTTGGAGCAGGACAACAGCTCTCTTGGAAGCATACCCCTGGAAGCCGGGTCTGCAGGATTTTCCGACGTACTCACGTGCGCCCATTCGCAATTGGGCACCAATGCATGTATCTTGGCCACCCGATTGGTAACAAATATCTTAAATTGCTTTTGTTCTCGCTTAAGCCATGCTAGAACAACTGTGGAATCTGTCCAAGATCAATTTTGTTGATGGTAATTATGGATTTCAATAGTTCAAAGTTGTGCGACAATAGTCTGGCCAGAAGTAGAGCCGCGCACAGCTCGAGCCTAGGAATTGTCACTGCGATATCAATTTGTGATCCTTTCAATGGTGCTATCTTAGTTTTGCATGTGATAAAATAAACATGGAAGTGACCTAAGTTGTCAGCTATCCATAAAAATACCATATGTCGAAAGGCGACGCGACACGTACATATTACGCGACCGCGGCAATGACAACGACGTTGGGCACGGAACGATAGACGAAATACTACTAAAATGCTTAGCGGCGGTAGGCCTGTGTTCGTAGTGGCTGGCCAGGGAGCCGGTTGGTACTATATGGGGGTGGGGCTCTTCTAGAAGCTTCGATATCTTATCGGGGTATACCCGGAACAAAAATAAATTGTGGTCGCTGCCGGAGCCGGCACCGAACACTTATACTTAAGTTTCTAATAGCTTTAATATTTTATGTTTTAATCATGTCATTATTAATAAAAATKTTCTACTTAAAAGTTATCTATCATATTGTTTGTTAATAAAAAATTATTTTTCTATTTATAATAGCAATTATAACATTTACATATTTTATATATTTTATACACCATTATAATATAATATACCCGTACCTTTAATAATAGGTACATGCTTTTACTATACATTCATTCCAAAAAAACATCTGTAGTCTTTGTTAAAATTAAATTTTTAGTATGTATATTTCATCATTTTATAATATAACTATAAAATCTTTTATTTTAGTTGAACAAATATAATAAAATAATTAAAAATATTGAAGAGAATTTTTAATAGCATCTTTTTTTGATTCTCCGTTTTTTTTCTGGTTAAAATCAGAATCAATTAAATCATTTTCTGGATCTATAGATGGTCCAATTTCATTATCCAGTTCAATTTCATCATTCATATTTATGCACATATTGTGTAGTACACAGCATGAAATTATAAATTTTCTTATTTTATCTACATAGTGTATATCAAGCTGTAATAATTGTCTAAATCTTGACTTAAGAAGACCAAACGTGTTTTCAATTACGAGAACTCTAGTGGCACAAAATGTTTTGTTAAAAATAATTTGTGATTTAGTGAAGTTCCCATAATTTTTGTAAGGCACCAATAACCATTCTTGAATACTGTAAGCTCCATCTCCAATGATATGGTATTTTGTTCCACATATTGAAGGCAGTTCTTTGCTGATATCAGAGAGAGCAAATACTCTTGCGTCATGTATTTTTCCAGGTGCACCCGTAAAAACATCAATAAACCTTTTCTTATAATCACATATGGCTTGTAGAGTTATTGAAGGTATATCATGTCTATTGGTATATGTGCTTTTTATTTTATGGATGGAAGTCCGTATTGGTATTGATGACCTATCAATACAACCTATAACTCCAGGCATTCCAGMCACCTAATTGTAATAGATAATGTTAAATATATATGACAAACATTTAAAAAAAAACATAAAAATACTTTTTGAAACTCTTGTGATAAACCAACGCTTCCCTCATTGAAGTTAATAAATTTAGATGAAATACTAACAAGAAAGTCCAYAACTCTGTTGTTTATTCGGAACTAAGTAGTTAATCCAATTCCAAATCTTTCAGAAACATCACGTAAGCTACATTTATTTGCTGAAAACCTGTAACATTATTTTTTAGTTATTTATAAAAAATACAAATAATAATTCCATATTCCCATCCCTATTTTCTACCCTATTGAGCAAATCCTAAATACGCCACTGTAATGAAGAACAATAAAATATTTTATTTTACCATACAAATGAGAGAATATGATTTTCAGGTGTGATRGTAGGATCAYTTAAATTGTTTTTTGGAAAAAAAATTGACTCCTCAAACATTTTGACTACGTAGTATGCTGTACACCTCTCCATTCGAAAGCTGCCTTAAACTATAATATAAAATGAATATATTACATTATAAAATATATGAATATTAATATTTAGATAAGTACCTAGCTAAGTGATGAACAACATTTTAAGATGTTTAAATAGATAGGTAGGTACATTTTTAATTATTTGAATTTTTCAATTGTAGTCTAATAAATATGTAAGTAAATTAATAKTCAATATTATACAAACCTGTGGATCTGTATACGCATGAACAACATCCGTTATATAATTATTTATCTTCGGAATTATATAATTATATATTATATATTTTTTTTTTTTTGATAATGTTACGTCCCGACTGAACGTTGATTCATACATCAACGTAAAGATGAAATACTGATGTTTACAATGTAATAATGTCTTTATTTTCACAAGTTATTAATAATTGATACAAAAATACAGTTTATATGCTATAAAGGACAAAGGTGTTGGTGAGCGGTGTTACGACCTTACTCTGAAATATTGTTTTAAATGACAATGAGTGGTTTTATGACCTGCCTCTAAGTGTCTTAAATGTCCCTAACCGTCTGATTCAAATTTAAGAACCGTTTGGCTCACATTTTAGAAAAACCCGTCTGGCTCACATTTTAAAAACCGTCTGACGAGCTCTTKTCGTGGTCTCTCTTATATATGCTCGTATCCGTAGGTTAGGTGGTCGTTTAGTGGTCGTACGTGGTGGTGACATCTGGCACAAGGCAGAATTTGAGTCTCCTGGTGTGATTGGTTATTCTAGTCGATTCACATCCTTTCTTAGTAGCAGTGACTTTCCGAGAAGAGACGTGTGACAATGCTTTTGTAGTTTAATTATCTACGCYTTTTTTACGATGACCTCAGCATGTTATTTTATATTAATTRCCTAYTTAGTTATATCACTACTCATAGTAGAAACTTACACTATGTTTTGAATATTGATAGGGTACGTAACAATAATATGTGTTCAATGATTTCAATATCTTTTTCACTGTCACTTGACGAAAGGTATTCCATAAGAGCYATCATTTTTGGTTCATCCATATTGATGTAACACTGCACTTTATAATTTTTCTTAAGTTATAACTAGGGCTTGGATTTAAATGCCCYTAAAAAAAATGCATTTATGACCTAAAAACTCTAAAAAATGCCCTAAAAATATYWAAAAATGCATTATTTRTTAAACGCATACCACCGATATAATATTATAGCTCGATAAGAAAATAATCTGATAAAAGTTTAGTCGTGTGCAATAATATCGTCTAATTGGATGGTGTGACATAAAGGTTGTAAAAACCGGAAAACCTGATGTTAAATTAGTTAAAATAGTTCAAAATGAAAATAATTTTTATTACGTAGTACTATATTACTATGTAGTACTTATATTTCAATGAGGTCAATTTTTTAGTCATAATACGACAAATAGGTAAAAAATGTACTAAAAAATTAAAAAATGCATTAAAACCGTCAAAAAATGCAAAAAAGCAAAAAAAAGCCCCAAAAAACACTAGGGGTGTCGTCCTTATAATCAGCCTGAAGAACATCGCTTCAGTCTTCTCGATGGCGAGCGTCAGGTTAAGATCGTCGATCTTATCTGTGACCACCCGAACAGCATCAATTATACGTGTTTCAGCCACGGCACATGTCATGCCGACCGCTACTACTAATGTGTCGTCTGCAAAGCCTATGAGAGCACTGCTGTCGGACATAACGGATCGCAACACCTGGTCGTAAGTGAGGTTTTACAGCAAGGGACTAACCACCGACCCTGCGGGACCCCACAGGTAATGGGAACTGTCAGTAGTCCTCCGGGAGCATCTGGGAAATTGATCGACGCTGACCTATCACTAAGGTATGAGCTGAAGACTTTCCGGTGGTAGGCGGGTACATTCCACTGAGTTAGGGCCGCCAGGACATAGCTGATCGTGTAAAATGCATTGCGGATGTCGAGACTGACCGTAACGCACATGTCTTTTCCATTTACCACTTCGATAGCCATGTTCTTCAGAG